TAATAGCTAATAAAACCTAACATACTAACAGTTATTAAGTGTACTTGATTGATAGATGGCAGTTGTATGTAGGAGGTTTATATGCGGGTTGCATTAAGATTGCATCTTTTTCTTTTCTTTTGGAAAAGTCTGTATGGAAGTAAATATACATTTCTTTCTGTTACTTCTTCTACCTAATACTCAGACATTGATCTTTTCAATTGCTCCATGCCGAGTCTTATTCAGAAGGCCAGGTTTTATAACGCTATTTTAAATCCAGAACCTACTCCAAATACCAGATTCACGTTATAACTGAATGAATCCTAGGCCACTTAGGTATTTCATAGCTGGTCTTTGCTTCATTGAATCATCCTAGTCCTCCTGAGAACCTATAAGGTGAATTAAATCAGGAGCCCAGAGTGACCAGGAAATGTATGACTCATTCTCTCACAAGACTGCAATTCTGGAGTCTAGTGACTGTTATTTCAGTGTCTGAAAAGTAATTTAACATCTCCATATATAATCCTTCCCCTGTGAAATTAGAGGTAGCATTATTCATCTCAGAAAGAAGGGACAAAAAGATTTACATGTATTTTCTCACATTCTGTTGATGGTCTCTTCACTTGGTTAATTGTTTTTTTTTTTTTCTTTTCTTTTTACTATTCATAGGTTTTTAGTTACATGCAATCCAGTTTGTTTAGTTTTGCTTTTGTTGCCGGTGTTTATGGGGATTACACCCAAAAAACTATTGCCTGGAACAGTGTCAAGAAGCTTTTTCTTCTAGCAGTTTTATAGTTTCAATTCTCGTATTTAAGTCTTCAGCTAATTTTGAGTTGATTTTTGTGTGCGTTTTGGGATAAGGATTCAATTTCATTTTTCTACATCTGGATATCTAGTTTTCTCAGCATCATTTATTGAAAAGACTATTTTAGGGCTAGCAATTGGTGTAGAAGTTGAGTTGACTAGACCCTACATAACCAACTCTATTGTTCTAGTCCCATACCCAGTGGCTTGAAAATCATGCCAAGTGGTTGTATATGTGTGTCTAAAATCATCAGAGGAGAATGGAGGAGAAAGGATTGTGGTGTGACCATCCTACCTGTGAGGTGATTTCTCTCTCTCTCACTCTCTGTCTGTCTCTTTCTAGTGAGTGCATACATCCCATAGCAAAAACTAAGAGGAAGAAAAAAATGAAGAAAGAAAAGTTTGTGTTTTCCCCATTGTGTGTCCTTGACAATTTTGTTGAAGATTATTTGACAATAAATATCTGAACTTATTTCTAGACTTTCTATTCTATTCCTTTTGGTTGATATGTCAGTTTAGGAGTTAATATCTAAAATATGTACTCAATTAAGACAACCTAATAGCAAGAAAACAAATAATAGAATTTTTTAAATGGGCAAAGAACCTGCTAAACATTTCTCAAAAGAAGTCAGGTGACCAACAAGTATATAAAAAACTGTTCGACTTGACTAATCATCATGTGAATCAAAACTACAGTGAGATATCACATCATGTACATTAAGATGGCTATGATCAGAAAGGCAAAAACTGAATGTTAATGAAAGTATGGAAAAAAGGAAACCTTTCGGTGGGAATATAATTTGGTATTATCATTATACATAGCAATATGTGGATTCCTTAAAAAAATAAAAATGGTGCTCTCCATTGTCTGTGTGTGTATGTTTGTGTGTGTGTGTGTGTGTGTGTGTATGCATGCCCAAGATCCTGAGAGGAGAATGGAGGAGAAAGGATTGCTATGTGGCCATCCCCATCCCCCCTCAGGGGTGATTTCTCACTTTCTGTCTCTCAGTCTCTTTCTGTCTTTCTGGTGTGTGCACACATCCTATATCTAAAATTTCTCTATGAAAAAAAGGGAAAAAATGGTATAACCGTATAATTCAGCAATTCTACTTCTGAGAGAGAAAAGACAGATATAATAGATTGCAAAAAAAAAAATCAGTATCTTGAAGAAATATCTGCATTTCTTTGTTTATTGTAGCACTATTAATGATAGCCAAGGTACTGATGAACTTAAGTGTTCATCAGTGGATGAATGGCTAAGGAAAAGATAAGATATATACACAAAATATCATTTGACATTTTAAAAAGAAGGAAATGCTATTATTTGTGATGGTATTGATGAACCTGAAGGACATTATAACAAATGAAATAAGACAGAGAAATAAAAAATAATACCTGTCCTCTTTTCTATGAGGAGTCTAAGAAAGTCAAACTTACAGAAATAAGACAGCAGAGGGACCAGAGTATGGTGTAATGGTTCTGTCGCTGGACTCCCACACTAAAAAAAAGGATTTATGTGAACATGCTTTCTAAGTTTGATGAATTCTACAGAAACAGAGCATTAAACCTGTAAATCTTGGACTCAGGATATTCCAAGTAAAGTGGTTTCCAAACAAGTGACTTGGGTTATGGTAGCTTTTGTTTGTATGTATTCATTTGTTTATAATGTAAATCTATTTTCTCCCATTTCAAATGTGTTTCTCATGATTGCTAATTTTTCTGTAACAAATGTGGAAATATCTTTCTTTTTGAGCTTATATTGCTCCCCTTTGTATTTGAACCCAAGACAGATTTATGAGTTTGTTATTTCCTTTCCCCTTTTTTTTGGAGAGGTTTAGGATGCATGCACTCACCAGAAAGATGGAGAGAGACAGAAAGTGAGAAATCATCCCCGGGGTGATGGCCACACTGCAATCCCTTCTTTTTCATTCTCCTCTCGGGATCTTGTTTAAGCCACTGGGTCCAGGACTCAAACCACAGTCATAGGAGTCCAGTGACATAGCCATTACACCAACTGCTGGTCCCATGAGTTTGTTTCTGCAACTTATGTTGTTAAAATTGTATTGCTTTAACTACTAAAAACGTTATTTAACTTTAAGCTTCTTTAAATGGATTTCTTTGTAATGGGAGTACCACTATTATTTATTTTAAGTATAAGGACACATGATCTACTTGAGGTGCAGGAGTACGGATGGCCACATTTGCATCACTGATATAGATAGTTATCTCATCGTCAGCCTTAGGCTTCACATCTACCCAACAGAACTTTAGAACTTGTTGACCCTCAGGATAAAGTGTTAGGCTAAATTACTTGATGAGTGTGGGATATTGGCTTTTATTAATCTTACCCTGATAAAACAGAATTATATTTTTAGTTTAAGACATTCACTAATGAATCAGTTTTAAAGACGAAATAAAATCCTCATTAAGCCTGACAAATGGTAGCCTCAGGTATATACAACACATTTTTTTTCCCTAAACCAAAATGAATTTAGCTGTAAATGTTCCTTATGCTATGGATATCTTAGCATGTATTCTGAGGTATAGGTCACATCAGAGAATAAAGCATTTATTTAAGAGAGTATGGAATAATGTAGCCCTGAGGAATTCTATTTCTGAAATAAACAAGAATATAAAATAAAGGATCATTAGATTGTTTCATCCTCTATATTTAGTGTCAGTGGCACGGGTGGGATGAACTCCCAATTTTCTACAGAAAAAGCCTTACGGACAGGGCCAGCAGGTGGCGAGGTTAAGGCACTAGATTCCCACAAGGCTGACTGCGGTTCGCGTCCCAGATGTGGCAGCTTGAAACTGACTACAAGTAAATAGATAAATAAATGAATACATGTTTAAAGAATAAGCCTTATGGATAAATTATGAAACAGAAAGTTTCTGAGTAAAATTTACAGTAATGAGGCCACCGTGAATTTTTTAGAGTACAAATTATGTGTTTTTTTTCTCCACCATGAATGAGTTGGTTCAGATCTGTTTAGCCCAGTTGTCATAAAAATGGCCAAGTTTGCATTTCTGTTTTAAGAGTGGCATTTCATTATTTTCCTTAGGATCATAATGTTATTTTAATTTATGGGAGGTTGGCAAGTGTAATCAGATTATTTGAACATGAAACTTGAAAATCAGTTATTGAAAATGGTTTTACTTGAGACCAGCAGTTAGCGTAATGGCTATGTTGCTGGACTCCCACGTAGTCGACCACGGTTTGAGTCCCGGATCCGGTGCCTTAAACTCACACCGGGCGTGTGTGCATGCGTGCCCAAGATCCCGAGAGGAGAATGGAGGAGATGGGATTGCGGTGTGGCCATCCCCCCTGGGGGGTGATTTCTCGCTTTCTATCTCTCTGTCTCTCTCTGTCTGGCGAGCGCACGTGCCCTATTGCAAAAACCTTTCCAAAAAAAGAACGAAAAAAAAATGGTTTTACTTATGTCGTTATTAGTAGTACGTTATTTATAAAAACTGTAAGTAAATATTTTAATATTTAAATATTAACATGTAATGGTGTCTTAGGTTTGGATAAAGTGTTGCAGCCCACTTTTCACTGACTTTAAAATGGATGTTGGGCCAGCCCCATGGCCTCTACATGGCCTGCCATGTGGTTTGAATCCCGACCATGGGAGAGTTGAATAGCACAGTAGGCATATATGTGTGCATGCCCCAAATCCCAGCAGGATTGAGAAATGGAGGAAAAGGGATTCGGATGTTATTAGGCCCTATTTGGGGTGCTTTCTCCATCTCCCTCTGTCTCCAGTAAGTGTATGCATTCTCTTGCGGATTAAAAAAAGGAAAAAAATGAATATCATCATAATCCATGGATTTATTTTATTACTTTCTAATAAAACTCTATGGTTATATTTTCTTAAGTACATTGTTTTGTAATGAGAGTGGGTCTTTAGTCTTCACATTGGCAATGTCCTGTGGACCTATAGCGTTGTTTCTCAATATTGCGTTAATACTTAACTTTTTCCTTGAAAGTATGTTTTATTCCACCAAATAGAAAATTAGATAACATGAGTGCCCTAAACAGATTGATTCTGATTTCTGGTTTTTACAGTATACTACAGATAGTTACTTCTTTAATAAGTCTAGAAGCCTAATCTTTTTAAAATCTGTGTAACAGGAAATAACATTATTATTGATGTTGATCGTGATTTGTCTTATATAAACTTACTATTCCTTCTTTTCTTTTCTTTTGACTTCAGATGCAATAACAGGACCCAGTGTGCAGTGGTGGCAGGTCCTGATGTTTTTCCAGACCCATGTCCAGGAACCTATAAGTACCTTGAAGTGCAGTATGAATGTGTCCCTTACAGTATGTATATTCCTGTGCTTCTAAAAACAGATATGAAGTTTTGTTGTGCATGTATTGACTAATGTCAGCGTAACCACATAAATGAAATGAAAGGACTAATGTTCATTTTAAGGATCGTAGACACTGCCCACCACGGGAAGAATTAAATGTGGTCTGCATGATCTTGTAACATTTAATTTTGACTATATATTTCTGTACATTGATATCTATTCTAATACTCTTTTATTAATACAAGAATATAAAATATTAGAAACAGGTCAAGGGAGCGGTTTAGGTCTAAGCGAATAAAAGGGAAAGTGAATAATATGTACATAATAATACAGAGATCGGTGCGTTTTGAATTTGATTGAAGCATTTATATCCGAGCTTCATGTGTTGTCCGTGTTTTGAGAAGCAGAGATATATTCATCCAGAGGGAGCACAATAGAGAAGAAATACAAACATTACATGAATCGAGTACTCTTTAGAGCATATCTTTTATAGCTTCAAGAAGTGTGTCCTTTTTTAAACAATTTTTTAATGGTTTATTATTTTTTTAATTTAACTTTTAAGAAATGTATTCACTTATTTTTAATTTGACCAGAGAGGGACAGGGGTGGGGTGGGGGTGAGTGAGTGCCCTTAACCACCAAAACACCTGCCAGCCTCATTATTATTTTCTTTGTATTTGATCAGGGGGAGACAGAGAGAGAAAGGGAAAGTGAGAAAGCATGCCACCAGATCCAGGACTTGAACCTTGGTCAGCCACGTGGGAGTCCAGCACCTTAACCACCACGCCACCTGCTGGCTCTGAAGTGTGTCTTTCTTTTCAATCTGTTTGTCAGGTATAGCACATGACAACAATGTATGTTTTTTCTTCAGGAATAATGAAGAATTAACAATCCAAAATAGAACATTTTCTTACTTTTCTACCCAAAAAAGTATCAACATCTTAAAAATATAAGTTTTTGATCTGCCTGTTTAATTATTCATGGGATTTCTTAATAAAAATCACTCAGGATATCTTGTATTCACGTAGTAGGTACTCAACTCAGCCCAGAGATAGAAAACACCAGGGATTATAAACAAATCCCAGGTTCCAGCTTCCTTTGATGTCTCCGAAGAAGTACAGTATCTGGGGGTCAGTAAGTTTATTGTGCCAAGAGATAGCTCTAACCTTGCCTCATTCATGCTTATTTAAAAAAGCAGCACATTACTCCTAAGCTGGAAGTAAGCATACCTTGGTAACAGAGAGGGATTTGGCCAGCAGGAAATGAGTCAAAATTTCAAAATAATGGGACTAGTAGACAGTGTAATGCTTATGTCACAGGACTCACATGTAGTTGACCTGAGTCCTGAGTCCCCTGGCTTAGAACGCATGCTGGGTGCATGTGCAGGCATGCCCAAAATTCTGAGAGGAGAAGGGATCGCGACGTGGCCATCTCCTCAGGGAACAATTTCTCCTTTTCTCTCTCTCTGTCTCTCCAGTGAGCACATGTGCCCTATCACAAAAATCTCTTTAAAAAAAAAAAAAAAAGAAGAAAAGAAAAATTTCAATATAGTGAAAAATTTGATTTTTGCTTTATTTAGAGTGTGATTGATTAGAGAAGTTTATCTAGTAGAATTTAGAAACAGATTGAGGGAGAGGTATGCCAAAAACATAAATATCTTTGTTATGAAAGAGCATTAATATATATGTATATATCTGTATAGATATAGATATTGATATATAAATCTATCTATCTATAAATAAAATATTTATCTATATAAATATATAGATTTTATTAAAATCTCAATTAGGTTATGCTTTTTACATTGTGATCTCTATAGGCCCTTCTATGAAAATATAAATCTCTCAGCATTTATTGGTCATTAGTGATATTTTGAGGAAAATTTGTAGACCATCATGGAACTCAGATGATTATACTTGGGTTACATAATAAGATCTTTACAAAATATGTACAATCTTTTTAACATAGGCATTTTATGAATATTTGCAATAAGGTATACCTTGTTTTTAAAGAGGCAGTTTTAGAAAATTCACATTTTTTTTGTTTTTGTTTTTACATTTTGAAACAGAGCAGAAGTGAAATGTCAGATTTTAATTTTTTCTCGTAATTTTGAAATATTAAAGAATTTCACAGCTGTCTCTTCAATTTCCTACATTTCTTGAGAATTTCTTTGAGGATCACTACTCCAAAATCCTCTGCCAAACTCATTTGGAAGTATCATGTTCTTAAATGATTTCAGTATAAGTAAGAGCTCACTCTTTAACTTTCGCATAAAAGGATTATGGTTTACCACGGATTTCCTTTCTCATGAATTTCTAGAGATAAGTAATTTAGTTCCTTAATGTCCTATATTTGTAGGTTTCTGATAATCCTGTAGGTTTACTGACTACCTTAAACTGTATCAACAGAGTCCAGTGGTTATATCGCCGGACTCCCATGTAGTCGACCCCGGTTCGAGTCCCAGACCCAGCGGCTTGGAACTCAGGCCAGGCACATGTTTATGCATGCCCAAAGTCCCAAGAGGAGAACGGAGAAGGGATTACTGCATGGCCATCCCCACTGGAGTGGATTTCTCACTTTCTGTCTCTGTCTCTTGGGCAAGCACGCATGCCCTATAGCAAAAATCTCTCTCTCTTTAAAAAAGTATGTCCATATTAAGTTATATATTTGATTGCTTTATTAAGTATGAATTATAAACTTGAGTGCACCCACTTGCCATTCTATACGCCAGTTTAATTTGTATGGTGTCGCATGATCATGTTTATTTAAATTTTCTTCTGTTCTGTTTCAGTTCAAAGTGTACTACAGGATTGGAATTTATTTAATAAATCTAACATGGTTTCAAAACCAAATAATCCTCAAAAAGTGTAAACCACAAAATAAACTACAGTGACTCATTTGAAAGGTGGACTGGTTTAACAGAAAGACAAGCAGAGATCAGTAAGCATGAGTTTAGTACATGGCCTGATTACTTACCATAAATGCGGGGTCCTTTACTTGGATAAGCTAGCACAGTTTTCAGGACTTCACATTGTAGTTCTTCCACTATTTCTTTCTGACTCTTGATTTAGATCAGCACTGATATATTTTTCTTTTCTTTTTCTTTTTTTTAAGTTTTTGCCATAGGACCCATTGGAGAGAGACAGAAAGTGAAAGAGGGAAAAGTGAGACATCACCAGTCCTGGTATGGGGATGACCATGCTGCAATTTCTTCTCCTCCATTCTTCTCTCAGGATTTTGGACACCCATGGGCATGTGCCCGGCATGAGTTTCAAGCCACCAGGACCAGGACTTGAACTGCTATCTGCCATGTGGGACTTCAAAGCCTTAACCACCACACCACAGGCTGACCCTGTTTTTCTTTTGTTAAGCATAATGAGCATGACTTTTTTCATTGCTGAAAAGATTCACTTATTTAAAATAGCTGTCATTTCTTGCCACTTAGTGTTTGCCGTTTGTCACATGGATGAAATGTTTACATAGATAATTTTTTTTGCTTCTGGTGGTGTCCTCCCTGTTAGGTATGAGTATCGCCCTTTTACTCAGGAAGAAAGCAAAGCTTGGTAGGTTTAGTGAACCTCCCCTGTAGAATGTAGAATGGCTTGAGAATGGCAGAGCCCAGATGGGAGTTGGTTTCTAATTCTTAAGGTCACAACTGTGTTTCTCCTTATAGAGTTTTTCAATGGGTTATGTAATCTTGCTCAACATTTAATTCATAGTTTTCATTAGCATAGTAATGGCATGTAGTGAAAGCAACTGCTTCAAAGGCCCTGGCCATTTTTGAGTCCTCTTAGTTATTTATTCCTTAATATGTTTGTGTTCCTGTTTTTCTTTCACAGCAGCTGAATCACTACAGACTTTATTTTCCCAAACACTTTATGAAGCTTTATGATATAAACTAGTTATGCCAGAAAAATACTACCTATAATTTAGAAAGTGAATGTTACCTAAGTAATAAGTCATTTTTAATTATCTGTATTAGAGGACATTTTTTGTGCTTAATGATGTCTTTAAGATTCTTGGTAAAAGATCCCTGTTCATAGCCTAAGGCAAACTTTACATTTAGGGATTTAGTATTAATGTTTCAAAATTGTCTTTTCAACAACTAAATAAACAACTAATGTTAGGTTCTGCTTGTTATGTAATTTGATGATATCCATTTCCTCTTTGAACTTAAGACCCTAAACCTTAGTGTATATAGTAACATATTTAGTATGTAATGTTTTCTTTATAAAAGTAGTACATGGAAGAACATTGTTGATTTTTTTTTTTATTATTCATACCCTGTGTATGTATGTGTGTGTGTGTTTCCACAGCAATATTGAGTTTTTGGGTGAGGTTTTCTTTCAAGGGAAAAACACAGGAAAACAAGAATTTGTAGAAAAGCATAGTAATCATGAAGCATAAAGGCAGTTTAAACAAAAATTCAACAAAATTCATTTTATCATGTAAGAGAATCAAAATGAAAAATATCTAAGGAAAATTTGCAATCATTTTTGCACATAATTTTAGGAGTCAGTAAACAGGTACCTTATTGAACAATGATAATTTTTGAAAAAGCAGCCTGAATCAATCAAACATTAGGATTTAGTTTTTTAAATTCTGATTGGAAAAATTTAAGAAAAATTAGTGATTACAATTTATCGAGCTGCTGTCTTTGAATGTCTTGTACTCATTTTTCTTTAGAATTACTTAAGTTATAGTTAATGTTTTCTGTCTGAACTTTTTACTTCTGTATTTTCTTGTTTGGGTACATGCATACCCCATTGCCGACAGAATTTGGTACACGTAAATCAGTACTTTTCAATGTTCCTGTCACACCTTAATTCCTGGGCAACTTTTACAGCTTTTGCATTTTCTTTTGAGGTTTGATTTTTCTTCCTTAGTGGATGTTTTCTCCTCAGGAGCTGACCCACATCTGCAAGAGGTTAAACCTCACCATTTACCAATGCACATTTTCATTCTTCCATCTTCTTTCATTTTCTCACCCAACCCCATCCCTGTTGACCGG